CAGCTAACGAAAGATGCGTAACCGGCGTAGCTGCGCCCCGTCGATCGTCGAAGACACCTCCGTGGTTACGTGACCGAGCGTGCTCATTGACGGCCGGCTCACGAGGAGGAAGAGTCGTCCTCGCCAGGATTCGACGCGTGTTAACGAGACCGCGGCAACGAGACGAACGGCTGGATTCCCTTAAGGAGACCGACGAAATTAGCGAGCCCAACTGCGCCGCTAGTAAAGGACTTATCGGAGCCTCTTGGTATTCATAAGGAGTTTCTTCTTCATCTTCTTCTTCCTCCTTCTCCTCCTCCTCCTCCTCCTCCTCCTCCTCCTCTTCTTCTTCCACCACTACTTCTTCTTCTTTTTCATCGCGCAATTCAGCGATTGTTTAACTTACTCGAGCTTCGTGACCAAATGACGATGAAACGTTATTATTTTATGATTATGCTCGGGTGTGAAAATATTATCCTGTCCTTGTTTGCTTTATACCTCTCTTCCACAACTCTCCACATCTTCTTCGCTCTCATTTTATTTACTTTTTTTTGTCAAGGATACTTTTAGCTTCTATTGCCGCTTCTTCCTCCTCGAGAATTATATAAAAAATACTTCTTTCAAATGTAAAGGCTTTTTATTTTAATACTTTCATCGGTTAATCCATTATTCCATCCCACCTATATTCCGTCAAACTTGGCGTTTCTCTCAAGTCAATGAAGAATGGGCGAATGTTTTTGTTCTATAACGACGAAGCTTTTTATCGCATTTTATTTCATTTCAGCGTGGTAGTAAAATTGCAAACGCATGTTCGGCATTTAGAATCGTATAAGAGTACGTTAGTTTTTAAATAATATAGAGAGCATAGTAATAAATATCGTAGAATTTGTTGTCTAGCAGCAATCGATCCTTGAACTCCTTTTATCATAACGAGCATGATTGCATACTTGTCGACGCTTCTAGCCGATCCTGCAATCTCTCTATTCTTAACAATGTCAATAAAATGTCATATTCAGCGGCCGTAAAAGATATCGATGTATTATTATTATTATTATTATTATTGTTGTTGTTATTATTATTATTATTATTATTATTATTATGGTTATTGTTATTATTATTGTTATTATTATTATTATTATTATTGTTATTATTATTGTTATTATTATTATTATTATTATAATACTTCACCGACTAATGCCCTATTGTACAATTTTTAAATTTCAATAATTCACTTTCATAATTGCACCCATTAGCGGCAAGCGATAAACTTACGCCGCGCGCTTCATTCCCATTACACTATAATGCGAGTATATGGTGGCAATTACTGGAATGCTTAATGGCTCGACACCGCCATTCGAAGGCGCGGATTTTGACATTTCGCCCGACGTCGACAAACGCAATTGTTACGTGAGCGACGCCCTATATCGTAAACACTTATAGGGTTCGGGAGAGTCGTTAAGACGATGCTTACGATACGATACGTAAACCGAGATGCCAAATGTCCAAATTGCAATTTGATCATCGCTACGCTCAGCTTCTCGTGGCACAAAAAATTTTCATAGTTTAATAAGTAGCGCCAAATTAAGCAGTTCTTGATAAAACACTTAATTACCCACCGACCGTTCTTGATTTGATTATATTAAAACTAAATTACCTCGAGCGGAATATCGATTTTTTTTCGAAAGTAATTTGATAGAGACTTTCTCGTTTACAACCAAAATTAAATTATCCCGATGCTGTTTTGACGACTGCGTACGTGCGCCTGTTTTCTCGCGCCGATTATTTAGTTGTTAATTACTTTTGCAGGTCGTAAACGGTGCTACTAGCCAAACGTTTATTTCCAGAGCGTTTGCCCATCGAAAGACCCCTTTACCAAATGGGCCTGAAAATCACGACAGCCTGCATTTACATTGCTAATAATGAAAAATGAAGGATAAAAAAAAGTGTTTGACAATACGTAAGACAAAGAAAGCGCCGCCCGGCCGGCAAATGCGATGCGATGCGTCGCATTCCTCCCAAAGAGTCAATTATACTCTCATCTGCCCTACCTCCACGCTCCATCCCTCCCGTCCCATAATTCAATCATCGACCGTTGAAGAGAGACGAAGGTCCCCACAGCGAGGACGAAGCTGCGGCTCGAGGACTACTTTCGGAGGAATATGAATTTCAAACCACCGAGGAATTATAAGAGCCGTAAACCGACTTTTCGGTATTTATAGTCAGGTACTTTCGCCCATAGGATGGACGCACTTTTTCTCAATCTAAATCCATTTCACGCTTACTAAACTCTGCTAATTGCCGGGGATTTCGTGCGATCGAGCTCGCGCTAATTACTCCCTCGCTCGACAAATCGCCGGCAAGAAATTGACGGGAAGCAGCAGCGTCCGGCCAAAAGTCCGCGCGGCCGCCCGTCCCAAAAAAAAAACTCGTTACTCTCTTAATTAAGCGACGCTTCTTGCGACTGGCCGGGATTTTAGAAAGGCGTCGACGATTTTCCGCTGTCCACCCGCTTGGAGGATATTCGGAGCGGAACCGAGTCGTGTTACGTTTGACGCGATCCAGATCACCGGGGATCCATTCGCTTCTCTGCCTCGCTGCCCTCCATATACATCCAACTCCAACTCCCCCAGCCTTGCCTCGCCTCGCCTCGCCTCGCCTCGCCTCGCCTCGCCTCGCCTCGCCGCGCCTCTACGTTCCTTCCTTTGCCCAGCGGGAGCTCGCTTTTTACGCGGTCGCGCAACGCCACTCTAATTATGCACCGAAGGCTGCGGACGCCTCATGGAACGGGCCAATGTCGCGGAACGTCCGTGTCTGTTGCATTGTGCGAGAAAAATCGCTGCCCACAATGGCAATGCATGGAACATTTATGAGGCTTTATGGTGCGCCGGCCTTGTGCTTATAGCGGCGCTTTTCCACTTCGCGAGCTACAATCGAACGTAACGAAAAGTCTGCTCTTTAATAAATATTCCTTACAGAAAAGTGCAACTTAATAAAAGAATTACGCTTCATTACGACGACTACAACTATTCACAATCATTTATAGCGCACCGTTTATCTTTATCCTCTTTATTATTACTCGCACTTACTATCTATCTTTTTAGCAGTAAAAGCTTATGCTTTTACTTTTCTTCTATTTTTTTTTTTTTTTTTTTTTTTTTTTTTTTTTTCATGCTTTTCATTTTCATTGGATAAGCCAACTAGACACTAGACACTTTTGTCTCCTATCTTCATTCAATTACAGATTCATTATAATATCCTTAACTACATTCCCTATACGACTACGCATACACAGACAAATACGTGCACGCACGCGTAAGTTTAATAAACAAGTTTTCGATAACATACGCTTTAATATTTATATGAAAATAGATGTGCAAGAATATATTTCTGGTATGGAGGTTACGATTACTTGATCAAATAGCAATAAAAATTTCGAATTTCGGATGCTTGTATGGGAAGAATTACGTGTAATTCTTAATTGTAAGGACACAAGTAATTAGTAGGTCATATCGGTATTGCTGTTACATATGACTATACCGAACTTTGCTCTTCACTTAGTTAAATAATTGAATTACAATTAGTTATTTTATAAAAAGTCATCACGTATAATACATTACGTGTAAATAATATATTAACAACAACGTTGAACTTAGTGTTGGATAACAAAAATTGACTTTATTTAAGATATGTGTAGAAATACTAATTTATTTAGTAAAATAATGTTAATAAGCACATATTTAAAAATATAACAAATTATCTTATAGAATCGATAGCTTTAGAAGCGCCAAAAATATAAAAAATTACGAGGGATTGTTTCTTTCTCAAATGTATTAAACTTTGCAAATATTATGACTTGTGAAAATTCTATTGCTCGACATTTCTATCGAGCTTTTGAAATTCATAAGATTAATCCATTTCTACTTTCAATATCAAGAAAACATAAATAAATAAATAAATAAAACTAAAAAAATAATAAAGAATTATATATGAAGATATTAAAAAAAAATCTTCTAATTAAAATGTATTGACTGACTACACAATTTGGAAGTTTCAACGAGTTTTCATAAATTTTTAAGTATAAAGGTACTTCGGACTGAAAGAAAATTATAGTCTATTTATAAAATCTATTTTATCCCTTTAATTCGTAATATTCGAAAAATATACGTGCATAAAGCAACAAAAAAAAAAAAAAAAAAAAAAAAAAAAAAAAAAAAAAAAAACAACAACAAACAAACAATTTATCGTAATATTATATAATTAAAATCGTAAATTCTTAAATTAAATATATAAATCTATTAGTCCCTAGAATTGCCAATAATTTGTCAATAAAAATCATAATTGAATGAAATCAGCTATTCGTTTCTTAAAAAGAAATATTTCTGTTGTTTAACGATCACTGTATGAAGCTTCTTAATGAATCAACAGCCTCCTGTATACATTTTTATCGCATAAAAAATTGAGAAACAATATTGTGTTTAAGTTATTCTTTAATAAAATGCCTTTATAAAAGGAAAAAACTTGATGTAGAATAAGCTTCTGCAAAAAAAAAAAATAAAATAAAGTACAAACATTGAAACGCCTCGCACCTATACATCTATTAAAAGAACATTGACAGATAATACAGATGTATTTTAAGGACTAATTGGACTCTTTTCTAAACGATACTTTAACAAACATGATGATTAAAAATAAAGTATCATAAATCATGCTAAATGACGGATTAATTTATTTATCATAATTAAATAAAGTCCTGCAGTAAAATGATTCCACTATGCATTGCAATTATAGACCTTCATCAGCTTGGCTAAGAGATCCTTGGCCAAAGTATCCTGGATGCTTAAGAAGTTATTTTGCTCTGCACGAACGTTACGATTGACTTATTCGAACTCCCACCTATTAGTTCTCCTTTTCGGTCAATCGTAAAACTGTGAAATGTGGGCTCTCGTTGGAGCGTTTGTTGGTTAATAAAATCACCGGTTGTCGAAAGGCTCTCGGGCACGTGCGCAGCTTAATCGTGCAAAATGCGGGCACTGACAAACGAAAAAGCGCGCTCGGCCATGAAAGTGTGCCACTCGAGGAAAAGGGCTACCAACTACGGACTTACATCCTCCGACAAAGAAATACTTACGAGCTAAGCGCCGCTTCCCTCCTGGCTCTCTCTCTCTCTCTCTCTCTCTCACTCACTCACTCACTCACTCTCTCTTCCTCACTCACTCACTCACTCTCTCTTCTCTCTCCCTCAACTAGTGTTTATATTCTCCTGTGTCCGCGTCGTTGTATCCGGGGAGGAAGGAAAGGGGACCACTAGCGTGCGGGCGGCTTCGGCGTCACGGGATCACGAGCGTGAGCGCTGGTGCGGGGGGATGGGGCGGGGGATGGGGGATGGGGGGTGGGGGGGGGGGGTTAGAGG